AATTACTTCTCTAAAACTCTGTCTTCGAATGGCAATGCATTGGAAGTTAAGTTTCTACATAGGAATGTGGGGGAAATGTAAGCATGCTTTTCATAATATTCTTCCCCTGTCTTCTCGCAAATTAATGTTTTCATATGCAAAATACATTAATTCCAGACCAACTCCAACAGTCTAATTTTTTCCAGTGCCAACTCTCAAGTCTCAAGTACAAAGCCCCATCTAAATATCATCCCAATTAGATATGGTTGAGACTCCTTGTATGGTTTTTCCTAAAGAAAATTTCTTTCCTGTGAATCTGTGTAACCCAGGCCAGTAGGGGGCATAATGTTTATGGCACTGGATTTTCACATGTGTGACCCTGGTTCGAGTCCCGGATCCAGTGGCTTGAAGCTAACACCAGGCACAGACCCAAACTCCCAGGAGGAAAATGGAGGAGAAGGAATTGTGGGGTGGCCATCCACCCTTTGGCTGATTTCTCACTTTTCCTCTTACTGTCTCTCTCTCTAGTGAGCACATGGACCCTATGGCAAAAACATAAAAAAAAAGAAGTTGTAAAATCAAGCAAGTTATGTGCTTCCAAAATACAATGGAAGAACAGGTATAGAATAGACATTCCCATTCCAAAAAATAAAAATAAAATTTTAAAAAAAGGAAAAACAGGAAAGGAGAAAGTGGTCACAAATTCCAAGGAAATTCAAAACCTAAGAGGGCACTCTGCATTAAATCTTAAGGCAATAATATTACCCCCACAGCAATATTCATGAATGGCACCAAAGCAACTCTTGAGGTGGCTCTCTGCCTGGGATTCTTCTCCATGATAGCTCTTTAAGGTTAAGGTCCCGTGCCTATGGCTCCAGGTAGTTCTCCATTTGAATTCTAGAATAATTAGCTGTGCCTCCCTGGCTCTTACACTATGAGCCTGTGATAGGAGTGGCAGCTCCCAAAATCTCTGAATCACTTCTTAGTTGGTTCTGCCTGTGTCTTGAAGAATAGCATCTGGCTTCTGCTGAGAAATCATTTTGAGTGTTGACATGATGTTACAAGTAGAAAATTTCACATTTGACCTCATGTGACAAATTGCAGTCAAAATGTTGTTACACAGCACAGTTTATTCAGTGTCCTCAAGAGAAAAAAAAAAAAAAAGACAGTTTCCTTCAGCTGGAGTTTATCTTTTCTATGCATGTGCAGATCTCCCACACAAAGAGTATATGCAATTATTCCAAAATCTAAATATATCTATGATCTAAGCATTTTTTACAGGGGAAATTTAATCTGTATAAGCAGTCAGGAGGAGTCAAGCCATACCCTCAACACTTTGATTAGAAATCTCTTCAGCTAAGTGTTCAATTTTATCACTCGCTAGTTCTAACTTTCACAATATACTAGCTCATGAGAATAATTTGGTCAAGACATTTGCCATTTCATACCAAGGATTATCTTTTCCCCATTATTCATAACATGTTCTTCATTTCCGTCTAAGGTTTCATTCGATTGGACATTACCTTCCATATTTCTAACAAAATTTTTCTCATGATAAGTTAAAATATTCTCTAAGAAGATGGAAGTTTTCTACTGCTCTCCTGTTTTCTTTTTGAGTTCTCACCAGACTCACCTTTAAAGTTCTATTCAAAACAATGTATACTTTTCCTCGTATATTCTTTAAAACTCTTCTACCTTCTACCCATCATCCAGTTCCAAAGCTGCTTTCATATGTTTATATATTCGTTACATCAACACTCCACTCATGGTGCCAATTTCTGTCTTAGTCTAGTCTGGCTTTGTGATGGTTAATTTTATGTGCCATCATAACTGGGCTAAGGGATACCCAGATAGCTGATAAAACATTATTTCTGGATCTGGAAAAGATTAGTATTGGACTCAGTAGACTGAGTAATGAAGATTTACCTTCACCAATGTGGGCTGGTATTATCTAGTTCATTGAGAGCCTAAATAGGACAAGCAGAAGAAGGAAGAACATTCTCTACTGTTGAGACAGAGCATCTATATTCTCCTGCCCTTGGACAGGAAAACTCCTGTATCTTAGGCATGAAGACTCTATGACTTACACAAATGCCACTCCCCCCCAAAGGCCTCCACCTGCCAACCTGTTTATTAGGTCTTCAACTCAGACTGAATTATACCACTGGCTTTCCTGGTTCTCCAGCTTGTAAATAACAAATGTCGGGACCATTTAGCCTCTATAATCAGATAAGCTAATTCCCATAATAATTTTACTATATGTATGTATACAAAACGTAGGGACCAGCAGTTAGCATAATGGCTATGTCACTGGACTCCCATGTAGTTGACTGTGGTTCAAGTCCCAGACCCGGTAGCTTAAACTCATGCCGTATGCATATGCATGCGTGCCCAAGATCCTGAGAGAAGAATGGAGGAGAAGAGATTGTGGTGTGGCCATCCCCCCTGGGGGTGATTTCTCGCTTTCTGTTTCTCTGTCTCCCTCTGTCTTTCCAGTGAGCGCACACACCCTATAGCAAAAACAAAAACAAAAACTCTCCAGAAAAAAGTATGTGAGGGGACCAGCAGTTAGCGTAATGGCTATGTCGCTGGACTCCCACAAGTCCCAGACCCGGTGGCTTAAATTCACGCTGGGCGCGTGTGCGTGCGTGTCCAAGATGTCTGCCTCTTTCTGTCAAGCGCACGTGCACTATAGCAAAAACCTCTCCAAAAAAAATAAAAATTGTGTGTATATATATATATATATATACACTCACACTCATACATACAAAATATAATAGGGTTATATACATAAAATCCCTAGTAGGTCAATTTCTCTTGAGGATCTTAACACATGCAGGGCTGTTATAACAGAAATACTGTAGCCTAGGTGGTTTAAACACTAAACATTTCTCTCTCACAGTTTTGGAGGTGGTTGGAGTCTAAGACTGAGGTTATGGAAGACTCAGTATCATAAATACTCACTTATAGGTTTATAGATAGCTGTATTGTTCTTTCTGCATCCCCATGATAAAGTAGGATGAGAAAACTCTGTTTTTTTATAAGTACACTAATCATGTGAGCTCCACCAAATACCTTCCTATTTGGAGACAGGATTTTAACATGTGAACACAAACATTCATAACACACTACGTGAACATAATTAGCTTTTATGGATTTCTACTTCTCCTTAATTTGTAGAGCATTAAGGGGAAAAACAAACAAACAAACAACAACAACAAAAATCTCTGAGCCAGAGAATCCAGACTGAAATGTTAGTTTTGCAATATATAATGTCGTGACTTTGGGAGAAAAAAGGTAGTTTTTCCTAATATTAATTCTTATATTCCCATGTCGATATGACTCTAAATGATACAATATATTTAGTGTGATTAAAGATTAAGTCATGTAATAATTTCAACATGGCATAAAATTTGCTTGCTTTTCAAGAAAATTACTATGGAGTTTGAACAAGTTGGAACCCTTGGGTCTGAGTAATCCAACCTATATCATATGATTCAAAAGATAGTTTCTGGTTTCCATAGATCTTAACTTCTGCCTAGCAGTAACACATATTACTTTCCATCAGATCCCATTGGCTAGAACTACTCCCATAATCCCACTTACCAGGAAAGGATCTAAAAATTATAGAGGGACTAGCAATTGGCATAATGGCTGTGTCACTGGACTCCCATGTAGTCGACCGTGGTTTGAGTCCCAGACTAGGTGGCTTAATCTCACACCGTGTGCATGTGCATGCGTGCCCAAGATCCCAAGAGGAGCATGGAGGAGAAGGAATTGTGGTGTGGCCATCCCCCCTTGGGGATGATTTCTTGCTTTCTGTATCTCTTTCTGGTGAGTGCATGCACCCTATAGAACACCCCCCCACACACACACACACACACAAGATAAATAAATGAATAAATAAAAATTATAGAGATGTTGTAGTCCATTTAGGTTGCTACAACAAAATGCCTTAGACTGGGCAATTTGTAAACAACAGTTATTATTTCTCACAGTTCTGGAGGCTGAGAAGTCCAAGGTCAAGGTGCCAGAAGATTCACTATCTGGTGAGAGCTGTATTTGCATCTACATGGTACCTTCTAGCTGCTTCCTTACATGATGAAAGCGGCAAGTAGGCTTGGTCAAGTCTGTTTCATCAGGGCTCTAATCTCATTCACAAGGGCAGAACCCTCAGAATTTAACCACTTTCCAAAGTCCCTACCTCCTAATTTCATCACTTTGGTGTTTAACTTTCAACATATGGATTTTGAAGGGATACAATCAGACCATAGCAGGAGGCACATGGGTATTCAGTGAACATTAAATGTCTCTGACATTGCTATTTGGTTCTGTATGAATTTGGCAAGTGATTTAATCCTTTTAGTTGTTTACCTGTAATATGAGATTAATAGACTGGGATAAGTGAATCTTTTAATATGCTTTCATAGAGGGCTGTACCAGCTTCACTACTGATAAGCTTATACAACATCCTGAACTTCCCTCAGTCTCCATTTCTTTCTCTCTAGTATGACAATAATACTATTTATAGGATTAAATAAGTCTTAATTGTTATAGCACATTACCCAGAGTTTAGAGTAAATGCTCAAAACCTATTAGCTCTCTTCATGATTATTACATATTTTTAACTTTATTTGTATTATTCATTGATAATTGTACTTACAGTGAGAGAATAAAGGTAGTATTTACTACACGTAACTAAGCCCACCTGACTTGTAAAAGCTCTCAATACTTTAAAAATATTTTGTGTTCCTCTATTTTAAGACTTGTTATTTGAGATATACACTACTGGATTTCCTGCTTTTAAATGGCCTTTAAAAAAATATAAAATATTCAATGCCTAGTAACTGAGCAATAAATACTTGCTTACTAACCAATAAGCAACATACTGTAGATAGATGTTGCAGACAATAGCACAGTTTTTCTCTCAGTTCTCCTTCATACTTCTGTCAAGTTTAATTATTTCTGGACTGCCCACAAAATGACAAAGCAGTGGAATTTGTACCCAACGAGTTAGCTAATACTTTATGACAGGCTTAAAACTAACTAAAAATCCAGCAGCTCAATACTTCCAACGCTAATTTGCTGTGTTGTCAAAGTAGAACCCTCTGAAGGAAAACATGGGAAGAAAGACTATTTTGCTTTTGATCACAGGGGTGCTGGGGGCATATTTTCTTTATACACCTCTCCCAGATAATATTGAGCAGCCTTGGAAAGTGATGTGGATAACTACACAGATGGAAATAGCAACTTACTTGGTAAGTTCAGGATTTTATCAACTCTGTGAATATTAATAACTTGGGTAAAAATAATTAACTACATTATATTTTTTTAAATTTATCTTCTCGTAGAATTTTTTTGCTGTTAATGCTTGATTGCTGGTTTTAAATTTTTTTTAATGTCTTTGACTATTCTTTAATGCAGAACCTTAAAAGAATGAATATGGAGGAATTATTCAAATAGTTTTGATTTTAACTATTAAAAAAAACAAAACATGTTGACTGGTTTTAAAAAAAAATCTTTCTGTGAGTTCATGGCATGAATTCTGCCAAAATGAAATATTTTTGAAGTATGAACTTCAGAAAAGGTAGGATTGAACAGTGGAGGTGGCTATAGAATGCTATGCATTAATTTTAGATTCAGTCATGAAAATTCATTCTTAATGAAATAGTTTTTAAAAAGGTCAAAGGAAACAGGGTGTATGTGATTTCCAGTTATTGGAAGATGAGTTGCTGAGGTGACAGGCAGCTGCCTGACTGGTTGTCCACCCCAGTGTTAAAGCTGGCCTTCAAAGACATGTGTGTTTGTATGTGTGTGTTTTCCCTAGTGGGGCTAATAAACTGGAAAATAAAATCTCGCATCATTCTCTTTTAAACTTCTCTGTGGTGAAGCAACTCTTTGTAGGGGGAAGAAAAAGAAAATAATTCTAGAAGAGAAGAGGAAAAGTGAGAAAGTACCCTTCAGTGGGGAATGGTCATGCCGTAAGCCCTTCTCCTCAATTTCCCTACCCTGTGAGGATTTGGGGCACACATTCACTCATGCCCAGTGAATTTGTCAAGGTTTCAGGGCTGAGATTCAAACTGCCGCGTGGGATCAGGACACAGAAATGGGCCTATTTCATCCTCTTTCTAACAATATTTTTCTAGATTTTTTTTGCATTTGTTGGGAACTGTTATGCTTCTTAACAGTAAGAATGGTCCTTGCATGAATGCTTTATATATATATATATATATATAAAACTTTTATATTATTCATATTTTAATGAGATGACTTTTTTGGACAGTCTATTACAGAGATGTCCTGAGAACTAGGAGTAGGGTCAAGAGGTTTTTTGTTGTTGCTGTTGTTCCTTCAGTTTCTGTATTCAAGGACTCCTACTGCCTACATATAGATACATATGCACACACAAGTGAAAGGAGATTCTAGAGTGGAGAAATATAGATTTAAAATATTAATTTATTTTGATGCAAAACATTTTGAATTCCATGCACAGGTTTTTCATAATATGCATTTTTATGAACTTTTTAAAGACCTTATTTATATTATATTTATATATGTAAAATGTATAGACATTATATAATGCATATATATGTAAAATAGATATACCTTATATAAAAAATCTTTATGTATATTTACATAAATACTTATGAATATATAAAAAATACAGTTTATATATGTTATATATGTTATGTATATCTATATATTGCTATAATTTGTACATTTAGCTAATCTATTTAACTGAGTATACATATCCCTCTATAATATATATTTACATGTAAAATATTAATCTATAATTCTATATATAAAGTACAAAATCCTTCTATGTACTTTCACCTATCTTTTTTCTCCAGCCCTCCTAAATCTTCTAGTTCATTACTGGTTATTAGTAAGGGATATTTTTTCTGGACCCTCCTGAGCAATTTTTTTTTTCCTTTTCCTCAGTAATCAAACTTTGGCACATTTCAATTCTGGTCCTGGGTATCTTTAATCACAGAGAGACAAAAATCTTATGGTCTTTTTCTAGGATCTACCATCTTTAGGGCTCTCTGTCTTAATTTTTGTCTTTCAAATAGCCTGCCTCCACAGTTTTTGGCGTAGTTCTGCTAGTTCTAATTGCTTTGAACCAATACTGCCCTAAGTTGTGGTTCATTGGTGTTTTGAGCGTCTATTTCTTTTTTGAAGAAATAAAGTTTATTATCATGCTATTGATTTAGTGCTTACTTTCTTGTTCTAAGTGGTTTCCTAGAGGAGAAAAGTGTACATATATAGAAATGCAAAGCCTCTACTGCTTTTTTAAAAGAAATGTTCAAATTTATTTGCCAAAATATATTAGATACCATTTAATCTAGCATCATTTCAGAGCCTCTATGAGATCCAGCACCCATTGATGAGGTGGATAAAAGTTTTTCAATCTTCCCTTACCCCTGTACAAAGAAGAAAAAAGAAAAGTTATTTGAATTTATTGTCTTGTCATCTGGGTTATACAAATTAATTTGGGCATAAGGAAAACAAACGATGACTTAAACTTTAATAATTCAGTAACAAACATAAATGGAAGTCAGTGAATGGAATCAACTCTCAACTAGCCTGTGATGTAGCATTATATCCTAGAATAAAAATCTCAGGGGCCAGTCAGTGGGGTAGTGGTTAAGGCACTGGATTCCCATATGGTCAACTGTGGTTCAAGTCTTGAAACTCATGCTGGGCACAAGTGGATGCATGCCCCAATTCCTGGGAGAAGAATGGAAGAGACGGGATTGTGGTGTGGCCAACCCCCTCAGAGTTTTTATTTTTTTAAAACATAATTTTATTTAACTTTATTTATTTATTTACTTTTATAAAAAAATTTGCCCAGAGAGGGACAGAGTGAGAGAGAGAAAGAAAGAGAGGGTGTACACAAGAAAGAGAGAGAAAGTGAGAATGTAAGCTGCCAGGTCCAAGATTCAAACTGTGGTGGGCCATGTGGGAATCCAGCACCCTTCACCACCATGAAATTTTCCTTAACTGCCTTTAGATAGTTTGAAGTTTCTTTTTGCAAATTTTAGCTTTACCATCTTCTGTTCCCTTTTTTTCTACATTTGCACACACAAGTGAAAGGAGATTCTAGAGTGGAGAAATATAGATTTAAAATATTAATTTATTTTGATGCAAAACATTTTGAATTCCATGCACAGGTTTTTCATAATATGCATTTTTATGAACTTTTTAAAGACCTTATTTATATAATATTTATATATGTAAAATGTATAGACCTTATATAATGCCTATATATGTAAAATAGATATACCTTATATATAAAATCTTTATGTATATTTACATAAATACTTATGAATATATAAAAAATACAGTTTATATATGTTATATATGTTATGCATATCTATATATTGCTATAATTTGTACATTTAGCTAATATATCTAACTGAGTATACATATCCCTCTATAATATATATTTACATGTAAAATATTAATCTATAATTCTATATATAAAGTACAAAATCCTTCTATGTACTTTCACCTATCTTTTTTCTCCAGCCCTCCTAAATCTTCTAGTTCATTACTGGTTATTAGTAAGGGATATTTTTTCTGGACCCTCCTGAGCAATTTTTTTTTTCCTTTTCCTCAGTAATCAAACTTTGGCACATTTCAATTCTGGTCCTGGGTATCTTTAATCACAGAGAGACAAAAATCTTATGGTCTTTTTCTAGGATCTACCATCTTTAGGGCTCTCTGTCTTAATTTTTGTCTTTCAAATAGCCTGCCTCCACAGTTTTTGGCGTAGTTCTGCTAGTTCTAATTGCTTTGAACCAATACTGCCCTAAGTTGTGGTTCATTGGTGTTTTGAGCGTCTATTTCTTTTTTGAAGAAATAAAGTTTATTATCATGCTATTGATTTAGTGCTTACTTTCTTGTTCTAAGTGGTTTCCTAGAGGAGAAAAGTGTACATATATAGAAATGCAAAGCCTCTACTGCTTTTTTAAAAGAAATGTTCAAATTTATTTGCCAAAATATATTAGATACCATTTAATCTAGCATCATTTCAGAGCCTCTATGAGATCCAGCACCCATTGATGAGGTGGATAAAAGTTTTTCAATCTTCCCTTACCCCTGTACAAAGAAGAAAAAAGAAAAGTTATTTGAATTTATTGTCTTGTCATCTGGGTTATACAAATTAATTTGGGCATAAGGAAAACAAACGATGACTTAAACTTTAATAATTCAGTAACAAACATAAATGGAAGTCAGTGAATGGAATCAACTCTCAACTAGCCTGTGATGTAGCATTATATCCTAGAATAAAAATCTCAGGGGCCAGTCAGTGGGGTAGTGGTTAAGGCACTGGATTCCCATATGGTCAACTGTGGTTCAAGTCTTGAAACTCATGCTGGGCACAAGTGGATGCATGCCCCAATTCCTGGGAGAAGAATGGAAGAGAAGGGATTGTGGTGTGGCCAACCCCCTCAGAGTTTTTATTTTTTTAAAACATAATTTTATTTAACTTTATTTATTTATTTACTTTTATAAAAAAATTTGCCCAGAGAGGGACAGAGTGAGAGAGAGAAAGAAAGAGAGGGTGTACACAAGAAAGAGAGAGAAAGTGAGAATGTAAGCTGCCAGGTCCAAGATTCAAACTGTGGTGGGCCATGTGGGAATCCAGCACCCTTCACCACCATGAAATTTTCCTTAACTGCCTTTAGATAGTTTGAAGTTTCTTTTTGCAAATTTTAGCTTTACCATCTTCTGTTCCCTTTTTTTCTACATTTGCCATTGATTCTCTCAGCATCGTTTACTTCTATTTTGATGTGATGATCTCCTCAAAGATACACTGGTTGGCCTCCAAAGGTGAAAGTTTTGAAGCGCAATGATTGAGTTTTCAAATTGTTAAATAACCACCCTTTCTATACAAAACTTTAACCTGCATACAGCCCATAGCCTATACACATTTTCTCAACTTTGAATTTTAGAAATTCAATTTTATTATTTTTTTCCCTTAGGTAAAAAACATATGTATGACTGATTAAAATTCAACAAGAAACAGTTTTGTACATATACCAAGGGATATAAATTTCAGAGTTATTCATATTCTTTTTTTTTTCATTTGATGTTTTAAATTTACATCGAACATTGCTGTTAGCATAGAATCAATATAAAGAGAGTCAAATGACCTGAAAAAATGTGTTCCTTAAGCCACTGTTCTACTTTATCACATACCACTCAAGGGAAGATAGTCAAAAACTGTAAAATCCTTGTCATAAAACTC